CAGGACGCGAACGGCGGTCGACTACGTGGGAGTCCAGCAACATAGCCATTACGCTAACTGCTGGTTCCCAAAGCACACTCCTTCTGACAATTGAAAAAAAATTTTTTTCTCCGAAACTTCGAACAGATCAATTTTGGGTATTTTCCCCCTGCTGACTAGATTCCACCCAAGGCAGATAACTTGAATTTAGCCTTTGCCATAACCTTTTTTTTTTTTTTTTTTTTTTTTGGCGGGGGTAGAAGGAGTCAAATCAGGAGTTAAATCTCTTAACTTTTCTCACCTATAAAATGGGAAGGATATCTGTTCTACTAATTTCACTGGGTTATTGCTACCGTTGGTACGCTATAAATGTGCAAAATATAGGCTTACAACATCATCATGAGGGGCTTGGCTAATAATAGGCTCAAGGAAACTTTCTCTATTTTAAAATTCATTTCCATCCAAGCATCTGAATTTATTTCAATCTGTTAAGGAAGGTACCTATGATCCCTTAAGCTCATATAACCAATATTTGAAGTCCCATTACCAGTTGGCCTAACTGTTCAGTCAGGAATGGCGAGATGTCTGCTTTCAAACACCTTTTCTGGAGTAATCTGTCTAGTCTGATCCAACCCTGATTCTAGCACTATCCCAGTGAGTATGGCAAAGGTTATTCAGGATTGCTGCAGGTACAACGTACATTAGTCTGCCCTGCAAGAACTCCAGTTCCATGGTATTCGTATTTCCTTTAGTCCAGCACTTAAATTACATGGGCTTACTCTAAACAGTTTCTAGATCTATTTCCTTGATATTGGAAAAATAACAAAAGAAAATTAATAACTATTTCTAGTTCAAAAGGGACCACTCCAGTCGATGGTCTCTAAAAATCAATTTCTTTACAGAGTCCAAGGTTGTAATAATGCTCAAGAGGAGTTCTGAGTACAACTGCAGAGAAAAGCACCTCCTACACCACGACAGGAGAACGAGTCTTCCCAAACACCTTTCCAGCGCTTCCGAGTCATTACCTGGCCACAGGTCCTCCTGAACTGCCCATTCTCAGTTAGCACCCCTAAGACTGTTCTTTGTGGGGGATCCTGGCCCAGTTGAGCTCTGGTGAGCATCTGGCAAGCGTCAGCATCAGAACCTCGGGCCGCTGGAGCCAGGAAGACTCCACTCTTGGAGCTGCTGCTGCGCATGGCCTCAGACTCCACCGCTGCGGCTAACAGGGAAAAAGGAAAAGACAAGCGGGTTAGTCAACAGCCCCAGACGGGCTCCAGGGATGCAGCCAACCTCTAGGACAGACAGCCCCAAGCCTGGGATCAGCATCAATTGATCTTCTCAGCAATTACTAGGGTTGAAAGGGCGTGAACGACAAGATCAAAGCTGCTCTAAACCAAAACAGCGAATTGAATCTCCTGGGCATTCTTCCAAAACCTGGTGTAGGCCCGGAAGGAGAGAGACATCCTGACAAATCTCCAAGCCGCCATACTTTCTGTGTAAATTGGGAGTTTAAATTTACAAGCCCTAATCTTTCCTTGCTAGGATGCTCATCCCCTGCCCCAACACAAAAGGTCCGGGATACATTACTGCAGGAAAGTACGACCCTTTTCCAAGGGACAAGCGGGGTGCTGCCCCATACAGCCCACCTCACACCAGAAAGAAAACCCCAAAACCTGCTTGGAACCCACAGAGGGCCCCGCTCTCCTCGGCGTTAGATCTGTATAGAAGTCTCCAACAATTTGCAAGTGCACACGGGGATCGGAGC